TGGCTCGCCTTTAAAGGCGCTCCCTTGGGACTGGCGTTTCGGCGTTTTTGCTTTTATGGAACTCTCTACTCTTTTTCCCCGAGCTCTGCAGGGGGGTCGTCCCATTTGCGATTCGTTTTGTGTTTCTTTTTCTGATAGCTTTTAACCATCTTTTGTGCGTTCGCCAAACGTTCCTCTGGTTCCCATGTGTGTACTCTGCTGGCCATCCTGCCCACTTGACTAAAAATGAGCGCGAGCCATGATTCTCCTGCATGTCCACAATATCTTCGACTTCCCAATCCTCTGTCTCCTCTTTTAGATCCGGGAGTGCGGACTAGGCGATTCGAGGTCGGGAGTCATCCCATGGTTCTAGCAATGTCACCGAAAATACATCGTGCAACCTGTTATATTTGGCTGGGAGCTGGACGCGGTATGCGGCGCTGCCCACAGCCTCGATAATCGGCACTCGGATGTATGAGGGTGTTAGCTTGCGCTGTTCTGCCTTAAACCTAAAGTTGCGGGTAGATAGGCCCACGACCTGCCCCTTTTGGCATTTTTGGGGCTGCCGCTTCTGGTTGTAGTAGTGACGCTGTGCCTCTACTGCGCGCGCGTGGTTTATTCGCATGTCCTCTCCCACCCGACGGATGTGTCGTAGCCTTTCGAGTACTCCCTGGACCTTTGTGTTGGCCGGGTCGGCGATCACCTCGCACATGCGCGGGTTGAAGCCATAAAGAGCCTCGAAGGGGCTCACACCGATGGTTTCGTGCTTGGCATTGTTATATGCGAACTCTGCATCGGGCAGCACTGCTGCCCATCCAAACTTTTCCTTATCGATAGACGTTCGCAGGTAGTGCGTGAGGGTTTGATGGGTGCGCTCTGTCTGCCCATTCGTTTGGGGATGGAACGCAGTGGACAGCCGTCTGGCGGACTGGAGGGCTTTGCGGTATTTTTCCCAAAGTCGCTGGTGAGCAGCGAGTCTCGGTCGCTCACAATGCCTTCTGGGGTCCCGAACCGGCATTTTACGTGTTGCCATAGCAGTTGGGCAAGTGATGGGGCTGACAGGGTCTTGCGCGTAGGGATAAACTTGGCGTATTTGGTGAACCTGTCTACTACCACTAGTACAGCATTGTATGTCTGACCAGTGGATGTGGGACACTCTGGCAGTCCTGTGATAAAGTCCAAACTGATCTCTTGGAACGGGCGTTCTGGCAATGGGAGGGGGTGGAGTTCCCCATAGGGCTTGTGCCTAGGAACTCTAGCCCCTTAACATGCTTGACATGAGCGTACATACTCCGCGATGTCCTTATCTATATTTTCCCAATGGAACTTGCGCTTTACAAGCTCCACTGACTTATGCACTCCAAAATGTCCTGCTCGGGGGTCATCGTGGTGTTGAGACAGGATTTGGGCTCGGAGGGCTCCTTGTGAGGGAATGACTAGCCTGCCCTTGAAGTACAGGACTCCGTCTTCGTTGAAATAGTATCCTTGATGTGGGTTTCGGTTCCTTCGAACCTCATCGCCCTGCTGGGCGGCATCGCTTTCTTCCGCGGCATCACGCCCGCGCGTGGCATCACGTCCTTGCGTGGCGTCACCTCTCCGGGTGGCATCACCTTTCCGGGTGGCATCACCTTTCCGGGTGGCATCGCCCATTTGGGCGGCATCACGTCTCTACGTGGCATCGCCTCTCTGGACGGCATCGCTCTCTTTGGCGGCATCGCGGCTGCACGCGGCATCACCTTCTGGGTGGCATCGTCTCTCTGGACGGCATCGCTCTCTTTGGCGGCATCGTCTCTCTGGGCGGCATCACGTTTCTGCGTGGGTTGATCTCTCTGGATCCCGGCGCTGTCCTTTACCAATGCACGCAATGCGACAACCTCCTGGTCCTGCGTTTGCAACCGCCTGACCATTTGGTATGTTGCTCGGCTAGGTTCTTCGGCCCGGGCCGTTTCGTCCTTCATCAGTTCGATGATGACAGGGCGAGGGAGTAGCTGTTCATGACCAACTCTCCTAGCTCCAAGCTCCTCTGCTAGCAGTTCTTTTCTGCCCGGGGCTGAGCGGTCGCTGACCCTCTTTAGTCACCCTCTGGGGCGTCGGCGCCATCGTCGGCATCGTCATCGGCGGCGCCGCCTTCATCACCGCGATCGTGGCGCTGTTCTGCCTGATCAAACGCCGGAGGCGTGTCGCCCGCGGCGCAGGCGGCGCCGTCAAGGAGTTCCGCTACGGCGCCGGCTGGGGCCGCGGGAACGTGGGCCATCACCAGCCCCCCCACAGCGGCGCCCACCACGGCCCCGCGGGGACGCACGCACCTGGGGGGGGGTTTAGATTTATAAACACAAGGATCGCGGGTGGAGTCAAGCAATGAAGTGACGAGCGATATCACGACGGTCTTGGGCAGAGAGTTGGTTGTTTTTTCTCTTTTTTTGGGTTTTTTTTGTCTCTCTCCCCACAATGCTGGAGCTTACAAGCAACGTATCGCAGTTCGCATATTTCTGATTCCCTTTCTTTTCCCTTTGTACAATTCCCTCACCCAGGTATGATGAGCACGAGTTTCATCTACATCGTCCTCAGTCCCAATAATACGAGTGGATCTCCAACCCCATAAACTCATCAACATACGACTTCGCCACCCCATCCCCCGCAGCGCCCGCGCAGACGGCCAGCGGCATAAAGTGCTCGGCCCCGTTGGCTGGGTGGCTGACGTAGGCGTGCGGCCAGTCGCGCCAGCCCGCGAACTTTATTCCCCTATCGCCCAATTGCTGGCAAAGGCGGCCTCGTGGAGATCCGGGCGGAAAAGAGGCCTTTTGCGCATCCAACGGGCGGCAGGCCGGATCGAGAGGAACGCCTTCCAGGCTTGATCGCTGGCGAGATATAGCCCCGTAACGGGTTAACGGGAACCCCTGACCGTTTCCCAAAGTCCAGCCGGTCCTTATACTACGCTATGAGGCTGTTGTACTTATATTTGGCCCTTTTTGACCACCGGATATAGGGCCATTGATCCGCCAAAGCCTTTGCAGCATTTTTGAGGCATTTGTTGAGCCAGCCACAGATCGCCAGTTTTATTTCCCCCTGCCGGCCAGCCTCCGCGAGGGTTTCAAGGAAGGCCAAGACTGGTTGGCGGTCCAATCGGATCGTTTGAGGCCCTCTTGAAAGGCCTGGGAGTCTCTTACGGAGGTGTCCTAGGTCGTTTGCGAGGCTGCAATAAAGAAGGGCCGCGGAAGGTGCAAGGGAGGGCGGAGGGAGCGACTGCGGTGCGTTAAAGATCGTAAAGTCGGGGGTATCGTCGGGCTCGGGCCTCTCACGCGGCTACCTGGGTTCCCAAG